GGGACAGCCACAGGCCAGGGGGACGGGACGGGACAGCCACAGGCCAGGGGGACGGGACGGGACAATGCGCAGGACAGGGACTCACAGGGATATCCTTTGCACAACACCTCGATGGGCGTGGACATCTTCTTCTCGCTGATGCGCTCGTACTTCTGCCGCTTGGTGGCGGCCTTCAGGCCCTGCCAGGGCAGGGAGCCCAGGTTGAAGTACATCAGCACGTAGCCCAGGGACTCCAGGTCGTCACGCCGAGACTGCTCTGTCAGAGAGAGAGGGGAGGGGGGCGGGGAGTGAGGACCGGAGCGCAGGCAGGGTGGGACTTCCTTGACTTCCCCCTGCAGGCTCGCCCCGATGACACCCTCCGATCAGAGCTTGATCCCCTTTCGCCCTTATCCACATAGTGAGTCCCTATGGCCACTGAGCCACCCCCACCCCCCGAGTGGGCGTGTCCAACCACAACATCCCCTCCCTGAGTGGGCGTGTCCAGCCGTGACACCCCTCCCCCTCGAGTGGGCGTGTCAATCCCGTGTTCCCCTCCTCCAGGTGGGCGTGTCCTCCCAACATGCCCCGCCCCCCGCCCCAAGCACGCAGCAGAGTGGGTCCAACACTAGCCAACGCACACACCGATGCCCAGGTGGGTGTTGATGGAGGCGTAGCGGGCGGTGCCCGTCAGGTTCTTGTTCTCGCGGTAGGGGATGTGCTGGTGCGTGCGGGCGTCGCGGTACTTCTTGGCCAGGCCGAAGTCGATGATGTACACAAGGTTGCCCTTCTTCCCCAGGCCCATCAGAAAGTTGTCCGGCTTGACGTCCCGGTGGATGAAGTTCTTGGAGTGGATGTACTCTATACGGCTGATCTGGGGGGTAGGGGGGGGAGGGGTGCAGGGGGGAGTGAGGGACACGGGTTAGGATCCGCAGGAGGAAGAGGGGAGAGACGCAGGAGGAAGCAGGGGGACGCGGAGACAATGGAGGAGGGAGCCAGTCAGTAACAGCCCAGGAGATGAAAAAGCGGGCCAGTGAATCAGCCAGCAAGAGACCGAGTGTGCGAGGGGAGGAGGAGGAAAGAGGAGGAGGCAGGAGAGCGAATAAGTGTGCGAGAGAACGAGGCCGCAAGGAGCAAGCGTGCGAGAGAACGAGTCCGCGAGTGAACAAGTGTGCGAGGGGACGGAGAAGGGAGAAGGGAGCCAAGTGAACGAGCGTGCAAGTAAATAAGTGCAAGATAATCAGTGTGCGAGGGAACAGGGAAAGGAGCGAGTGTGCAAGCACATAAGCGTGCAAGAGAATGAGTGTGCGAGGGACCAGAAGAAAGGAGAAGGCAAGACGGTGAATAAGCGTGAGGGAATGAGCGTGCGAGGGAACAGAGGAACGAGTAAGCGTGCATGTACGCGAGGTGGGTGGGAAAGGAGAAGGTAGGCAAATGAGTGTGCGAGGGAATAGGCATTCAAGAGAATGGGAGCGTGCAAGGGGACGGGAGGGAGGAGGCAGGACAGTGAGTAAGAGTGCAAGAGAATCGGCGTGCGAGGGAACGGGGGAAGGAGCAAGTCAGCAAGCGTGAGCAAGCGCTAGATGAGCGAGTGAACAAACGAGTAAGCGGGTGAAGGGGTAGAGGTACCATCTGGTCAGCCAGCAGCAGCACAGTCTTCAGGCTGAACTTCCGGGAGCAGAAGTTGAAGAGATCTTCCAGACTGGGGCCCAGCAGCTCCATCACCATCACATTGTAATCCCCCTCCGCACCACACCACTTGATAGAGGGAATCCCCACTGAGAGAGAGAGACAGGGTTAGTACACACTGACTGGACACTCCAGTACATGAACACTGCACTGAGAGAGAGAGGGGTTCATACAGACACACTGA